TAACAATAGTATTGTGGTTTTTAAGGTTTGAGTACAAAGTTACTAGCAGGTAACAATAGTATTTTCCATGAAGAAATCCATTACTTTATGTGTAATGACAGATATTTTACCATGTAAGTTCTAATAATAAAATCTAAGTTATTTCCCCAGTCAAAAATGTTACAAAACTATTATATTTCCATGGATCTTTCTATTGATAATTATGGTAATATTGCAACTACAGTATCAAATGTTTTACGACAATGTTTTTGGTTGAGAAAATAAGTTTACCTTCAAATTTCTAGGTTTTTAAGCTTCTTTGACCTATCTTTCAGAAAAAATAAAGAAAACACAGGATGAAAATTAAAATAAAGGTTTTTATAGGTTTTAAAGGCTTCACTGGAAAGCCTGGAAACATATCTCTTCATATATGAAATCTATTAGTTGTCACACACACATATACTTACAGTCAATTCCTGGCCAGAAGAATTCGTGACACAAGGAGTTGATAACTGGAATATGTTGAGGTCGAACATAACAATAATCCATTGGATGTCGTGCAGGGGGTTTCCATGATGGATCGCTCCTTTCAAAAACAAATATCACATAGATTTCATGCTCATAACATGAATGGTTTACTGGTAAACAAAACAATAAAAATTTACATTCACACAATATTATAAGAAAGATGGTAAATCAGTTGTAGTTCATACTGAAATCATTTCATTTAAAGAATTTCTGTGAAAACTAAGAAATGTAAGTAATAAGCAAAAAATAAAAATAAAAAAAATAAAAATTCATCCTATTACTTTTCTCTCAAAGTTAAGTAAAACTTTAAACTAATGTAGTCCATAAGCATAACCCTTTCTGAACCAGAGGGGTGCCACTGATATCCCTTGACATTTTCTTTCTGAAGATGAAAACACTTAAACAAATTGCACTAAACTTAATACAAACTTACTATTAAAATAACATTTAGTTTTGGCAGATTTATTGGTGAACCATGACCTTAACTTTCCTAAAGACATCATTATTACCTCTGTCAATCTATGTATCACGATTTTTACTAACAATATTCTTGGTCAAAATCAAGTAATTTCTAATAGATATAGCTTCTTTTCAGTAAATAATAAGTTCTTTTACTTGTATACTGTTTAACTACAATAAAATTCACAAGATTCAATAAATAAGGAATTGAGTAAGAATGTTTCCTGTCACCTGCTATACTTGCTAAACCTCACTAAGCTTACTTGATGTCTTGTCATAGAATAAAATTTCTGTACCTTTCAAACAGATATAATTTAACACAAAACTTTTAAGGGAAGAAAAGAATGCCTAAATAAACTTCAAAAACTTCTTCAAATCTAAGGTTTGTTTCTTAGACTCATCCAGTCAGATATAATATAACACAAAACTTTTAAGGAAAGAAAAGAATGCCTAAATAAACTGTGAAAACTTCCCTAAATCAAAGGTTTGCTTCTTAGACTTATCCAGTCAGATATAATTATCCAAAACTTTTAAGGAAAGAAATGAATGCCTAAATAAACTATGAAAACTTCCTTAAATCAAAGGTTTGCTTCTCAGACTTATCCAGTCACATATAATTATCCAGATATAATATAACACAAAACTTTTAATGAAAGAATGCCTAAATAAACTATGAAAACTTCCCTAAATCAAAGGTTTGCTTCTTAGACTTAACCAGTCAGATATAATTATCCAAAACTTTTAAGGAAAGAAAAGAATGCCTAAATAAACTATGAAAACTTCCCTAAATCAAAGGTTTGCTTCTTAGACTCATCCAGTCAGATATAATTATCCAAAACTTTTAAGGAAAGAAAAGAATGCCTAAATAAACTATGAAAACTTCCCCAAATCAAAGGTTTGCTTCTTAGACTCATCCAGTCAGATATAATTATCCAAAACTTTTAAGGAAAGAAAA